ACAGCCACTTCTCGTTAGGCAGTCATCGAGTTCAGACATTCTAAATTTTCATGATAATTTATCTGATACTTTTTTTTTTTAAAGTAGTACTTTCAAATTAGTACAGTTCTTTGTTAATTGTAGTCTATTATCAAGTTAACTGACCTTATTTTTTCTTTGGTTTGATATTTTTAAAAAAGTTTTTTTTTTACTCCCAACTTGTTCACAGTGAAACATGACTTACAAATTTTGTGTCGTGACTTATGCTACTGTAACTACTACTTTGAATGTCATGACACAGGCCTTGGGTATGGGGGTCTTGGCTAAGGATGTCGACTTTCGTTCGTCGGGAGATTGAACTTTACATGGGTCATTCCTCTTCTCCCAACCCTGCCCAGGTGCTTCCAGTGCCAGTGGAACCTGTTCATGATGACGAGGATTTTGACAGCCTGTTTCCTCCACCCTCTGCTGTGCCTCTCCTGAGGAATCGGCCAGGATCCCCTCAGCCTTCTTGGATTTGATTTCTCAGTTATATTACTTTTTACTTGTTTCCCCTGTTTCATGTCCTACCCTTTCCCTGTTACATAATGCCACATTGTCCTAGTACATTGTTTCTCCTTCTTCTCCAGATATAAGGGTACATGCTTATTATTTCCCGTCTCACTTGAGGCAGGGACCAATGTGCCCTGATCCCCTCGGGCTTCAGATGATTATGGCTTGGCCTACCATCAAGCTGTTTTTCTTTTTCTAAATTCTCAGTTTCTTTTGCGTGTGTGGGAGGCTGACCCCAAGAGTTCTGTGTGCTTTTCCCAGGTCCAGTTTCCTGCCTTCTTCTTACCTTTCTTTCTCTCCTTCAGTACCTTTCATTCATCCGCTTCCTTTCTCAGGCTATCCACTGTTCCTATAAGGGACTTTTGGAGGATACTCTTTCTTGTTTATGGATATCAGAGGGCAGATGTTTTTGCTATTGATGTTTCCTGTATTCTTTATCATCATTCATATGTCCTTCTTTATCTTGATTCTAGGGTTTTCCCCAAAGCCTTCTTTATCCTCTGCAGACTCTTCATTGTTATTTAACCTGCATGCTTTCTTTTTGTGGCACTCATGGAACTCCTCCTCTACCCAGGATCTTTCACCTGTAACCCTTGCCAGATGACTGCATTAACTTATTTGTCTGACTTTTGCTTCATTGTCTAAGGACTGTTGTCAAATCTTCCAAGTTTCCTCTAACCAGATCTGTCATCTCATCTTTTCCCTGCATGCTCACTTCAGTTGTTCTTTAGAGGAGATAGTGCAGGCTGGCATATGGACTATACCTCACACTTCTGTTGTGCATTACCTACATCATTTAGCCATCTCTTCCTCATCTAGCTATTGCTTGCCACCTGTTGCCATTCTCCATATTGGCTCTGACAGAGTAAGTTGTAACTTTTTTTTTATCTCTTACCTTTATAGTGGCCCCTTTCTACATCCCTGGATCATGTTAAGATACACTTAACTTCAAATTCCCACTATGCGGCTATACAGGTCTATAACGCTCACTTAAGTCCCAGTTGAATAAACTGTGACCGGCCTGCTTTTCAAAATAGGGTTTTCATGGTCAACCATTGCACTGTTCTATGGTGCCATGTTCCTTTGGAAGCCCCACCGTGTTGTTACCCCCTTCTCCCATTGAAGTACAAGACTCCTTGCCACTTACCAGTACCAAGCCATGGAGGTGTTGGACAACAAAGGCTTTCTCCAGAGTGTGACCAATTCCACTTAGTTGAAAGTATGGCAGTGGTGTTCTGTTGGTGTGGATGATGAGTTCTCTTCTCATACCACAGCCTTGTTTTGGACTGGACAAATCCATCACAAGCAGTTCACCCATCCAGCTAGCTTTCCCCCATCCTATCACTGACTTGATGTTGGTTCCCAGGTAGTCTGGTGTTGGATCAACATAGGACCAACCAATATAAGGCCTCACACATGTGGTTGGTTCATTCTACCATGGATTGAATGAAAAATTCCTGATGTTGCCTGGTTTTGGACTGGAGTTGACCCATTACATTTGCATCCCCCCCTCTTACTGTTAACCAGATGTTATGTTCCTGGGCAGCCTGCTACTGGTTATGTACTGGGTCCGCACCTTTGCCATTGCTGGGTTGTTGAAACAGAACTTGTTTTCCCTTATATTTCCTGGTCTTGAGGTGAAGATGGTTGGGGCCCTCCTACTACCATGGACTGAAGACAAATATCTGATGCTGTTTGGTTTTGGACTGGAGTTGATCCATTGAATATAGCCTGATGCACCCTGGCCACTTTTCACCATCTGGTGCTTCCAATTATACATTGAATGTGTGTCTTTCTACCCATTTTAGTGACACATATCTTGACAACAGGGAAAGAGAATACCTGGTACAGATAGAGTGCAGTCTCCTGCAAGTGTGTTCCTATAATTAGGGTGTCACACTACGTGTGTTCTCTTCTGGCACCTTCCGAAGAGTGCTCATATAGGTAACCTATATGTGGTATTGGTATTGTAAGGTATTGTATTGGAAGTTAACATTTTCCTACACTGAAAATGTATTTGCAATAGATACTTACCTCTCCTCACCTTTCCCACCGATCTTCCCCATAATCTCAAAGTGATAAGAGTGTTCTATTGTTACAATACCATGAATGTAGATTTATCATTCAATAAATTGAGCAGTGTACCAGTGTTTTTTCCTCTTATGCTTTTGGAAATAAGCAATTTGTACATGCTGAGTTTGAGAAATTAATGTCACTCTTTTGCCATGAAAAGGCAGCAAATAAAATGTATCAAAAAAAGTCAAAAATGAAACAGGTACTCATTATTAAGCCACTAACCCCATCAGACTAATTTGTCATTTTGGCAATTAGTATGATTGCATTTCTTATTTTTCCTGTTACTATCGGAGTAGTGTTAATGTTTAGCCCTGTGAAAAAAAGTCACATTCCAATGCAAGTTTTGCTTCATATGATACAGACTAAACTTTACAAGAACCACCAAATAATTTTTCCTCAAAAGTATCATTGTACATGTCATATTTGTTCATTCACATTCATGATAGTCTCTTACAAACTAGTACTTTAGTGTTTTGTTTTTTATGCAAATCTATACTAAATGTTATCTGCTCAGTATCCACAACTGATACTATTAAATGTGTGTTATAATGTTGTTAGTCTACCAGGATCTCAAAATATTTTAGAATGTAATGTAGATCAATGTATGCTGAAGAATTTTGAAATAGAAAAGTTCAGGTATAAGAATGTGTAATTCAAATCATGTATGAATAATAAAAGCAATTTATCAGAAAAATACACGTATATTCTTCATTAGTGTAAGAAAGTTGCATAGTATACTTGCTTATGGTAGCACATTATGCTAATACAATAATAAGTTGAAAAATTAGTTAAGCATAATAGAAATTTTTTGGATAGTACATGCACGGTTTAACAGTACATTAGTTTGTATACTTCAGGTATAAAATACAACTAAACATACATGTTTATATACAAAATCAATGATACAATCTCAAAGCCTCTAAAAATATAATGTGATAAGTAGTAAGTATATAATTTTGTTTTAACACTGACTTTATGAAATATGTTTTTATTCTGTCCCTAACCAAGGTCTAACGTAATTGCTTTTAGCGTTTTTTGATGAACAAATAGAATGTGGCTGATAAATTTGTTCCGAAATGTGTAGTGCTTGTATTGTTTAGTTTATGTATAATTATAAGAGTACATTGGTGTTTTTTGGTAAAAAATGAGGATTTCCACTTTCCATTATGTATCTGAAGGAACTTTACGTTACCACAAATAATGAAGATTGAAAATTATGTTTTTGCCAACAAAATGTTTGGGTGATATACATGTAACCATGTACTTTACACACTTACTTACAAATAACAAAGTCATACAATAAAAGTAACTTCAGAAACATTTGCAGGTGAACCCCGCTTTATGAAAGGGGTTACGTTCATGAAAAATCATTCGTAAAGCGAGTTAGATTTTACCATTGATTACCATTATATAATTGGAGATACATTCACAACAAAAAGAAAAATTAGCCAAAACATAATAAACTAACAGTGAACTAATTTTAATGATAATTTTTTGGCTAAACAAAAAATAGAAGCCTCTGATAAATTTATTAAATCCAAATTAAGTACTACCATTAAATTTTTCCCTTAGCAATTTAATTTCAAATATAATACCATACTTTTTATATAAACTTGAACCACAACGTCTGGTTTATGTCAAGAAATGGATGTGTGAGCATATCAATAACTATCAGTAGTCACATGAAAACACCTAGTTGTATCACCCAGGGGAGACATAAAATATATATATAGGGAAAGTTACAGAAAAGAGGAAAAAAGAAATTAGATTTATTTTTTGGCACAAACCAGGGATGTATATATATATATATATATCAGGGAAAATATCTCTTAGAATTTCATTTTAACTTAACTTTTGTGTATGATGTAGACATGCATTAATTTAATTTAAAATCATAGTCTGACTTTTAGACTAACACAGAGTTACTTGTTGAGATACTACAATTTTATTGTAACATTTAATGTACTAGAATAATTGATTGTAAAACATATGAAAATAACTAAATATTTATGTATTATATTAAACTTGTACATACAGAGCTTGCATTAGGCATGAAATATCTTTGTATATAGTGATTCTGTTTTATTTTTAAGTTCTGTCAGTATATTTTAGACTTAAAACTCGTGTGGTATTTGTATATAATTGAAATGCTACACATTTGAAGTAAAGAGTTTAATGTTAAAGTAATAAAAAACAGTTGTAATTGTTATTCTGTCATAGAATAGTTTCTCTGTTGACTGGAGCAATATAGGTTTTATTCTCAGAGATATAACAGAAGCACAATTAGCACTTACCTGATTTTAAGTAATAACCTCAGTTTTTATTACAAAAAAATTACAATAATTTGAATTTTATTGCTTACTTTTTTATATTCCCCTGTAATAACCACTTAGCTACCACTGGTTCTGAAATACATGTGCACTCATCCACAAGTAAGCCTGATCCTGTTCCATTAGAAGTTGTTTGTGCTGATGGTACACCTCCACCTCCACTTCAACTTAATAACCGTGTAGTGTGGATTAGTGACTCTGGACCAGAGTATGGCTGGGTGCGCTGGCTTGGCAAGCTTCCTGATGTTGGTTCAGATTGGATGGTAGGAGTGGAGTTTGTAAGTAATATATTTATCTTTCAGTTAATTTCTTCATCAGTTTAACTTAATTATAAGTTGTATTTAAAGACAGTTTTCTTTGATCAATAAATTGTCAAATTTTAATTAAAATATGTAACTTAGCATTCTTCATGCATTTGTAATGAAAAACTGCTGAACAGAAGGGAACTAACTGAATTATTCAAGACTAATTTACATTTAAAACCATGTTTGGTGCTAATTGAAGTTGTATATGAACATGTAATACTCAACACATATAAGAGTGCACTGGTGTATCTGTTCTCTGTGAATATTGGCAAAAATTAGGGATTATCTCTTTTTTTTATTTTTTTAAAGAAGTACTACAAGTCTCATATTTCACTTTTAATCAGTTGGTTCACATTTATATATATTTGTGTAAGATACTCAATTTATGTAACATAGTTGAACATTGTGAAAGATACATAAATAGTAAAGAGTTTAAACAATATTCTACTTCTCTTTCGTAACAAATAATTATCATTGAAAGGCACAGTTTCTCACCATAGAAAATAACTTAAGTGTCAAGTAGTGCTTGGAGATTATTTTGCTTAATTCATATATTCATTGATTAGTGTCATATGTAATATGTGATTAATCCAAACTATGATTAAAGTGATTAATGTCATGAAAATAGTAAACTGGTGTTTGTGATTATAAGTGTTTTCAATTATTCAAACTATCTAGTTATTGAAATTATGATTAAATTTATTAATGTTAAGAATATAACTAATTGCAATTAGTGTTTCCAGTTATTACTGTTTTTGGATTATTTCAACTCTCCAATAATTGAAATTATAAAGAAATCAATTAATGTCACACAAAGAATCAATTAATAAAAATAAGTGTTTTCAATTATTATTGCTTTCATTTATTTAAAATAACCAGTAATCAAAATATTGCCATTAGAATTTTACATTATTACTTTTGATTAATTAAACTTTCTTCAGCCTAATTGATCAGTGTCATAACTCAGTAAAATAATCAACTAGTCGAAATTAGTTCCCAATTATTACTATTTCTGATATGGTATATTACCTCCATCTCACATAAATAGTTCTCGTTCAGTGCTGCCCTCTATATTCAAAAAATGTTTTATGCATGCTACAAGGCTTGATGCTCCCACACATCTGGAATTGACTGATTCCAACGTGTCTCGCATGCAAATCATCATGCAACAACTCTCCACCAGTAAGAGTGCGACATACTCTCTTGACGCATGTGACTCCCTCTATTCAATTCTACCAAACTATCACTTCTTGTTTTAGCAGTACTCATGCTGTAATGTTTAGTTTTGCTCTCTTCAAGTGTTTTATTTTAATTTTTTTCTGTATCTTTTTTTAAATTTCTCTCAACAAGTTTACTCTTTATTATACAAATAGTGATGTTTGTAACTTGTTGAGTTATTCTGAAGTGGAGTTATTTTTCATTTCTACCCAGTTACGGAACTTTTTACTTCATTACAAAAACTTTTTATTTGTTTCTGCCAACATAGCTGTGTTTGGTTTTTCATTTTGCACTATAGATTCTATGTTACCACGTTGGAGGTTATATGTCCTATTAGCACATTCACACAGGCTTCAGGTCACAGGACTCTGTGAGTAGATTTTTGGCTTTACTTCATCGGGAAATTGATCATCTAATGAACTGACCTTCATCGGGCCTCGCCTCAAGTTTGGGGGTCCACACATTTTGACATATAGTTTGCTGACTTTGGAAAGATAAGATATTATATTGTTATGGTTTTTGATTAATTTTATTTTTAATATTATTAGCTGTAGTTATATGAGTTCTATAACATAAGTTTTGTTAGATTGGTTGCTACTCATAGTCTAGTTCAGGTTAGAAATTAGGCTTAGTTGTTTCCTTTCTCCTATACCACTGATACTTAGGGGTCTTTGTTATATTAGGATTATGTGTCATTCATCTTACTGGTATATCAATCATTCATTTAACTATATTGTTTTTCTTCCATACATCTCATACATAGGTTATTGTTAATACACACTTATTTCATTTTATGAATTACCATTTATTTCATTTTTGTTATTATTACACTTATTGTTAGGTTAAGATTTTTATTTTAGAGCTTAGTGATATACTTTGTTCTACACTGTTTGATTAGGTTTAACACGTGTCTGTTATTTTTGGTTTACCTGTTGTTTTACTTTCGGAATAATCCCTAATTAAGTTAAATATCTTTTTAGCGTAACAAGTGACTGTTAATTTTTGGTTTACCTGTGTTTATACTTTCAGATTATTCATTAGTTCAGTTAACTATTTCGTTGTTCTTCAACACATAACATGTATTACATATGTTTCTTTCACTACCAAATTTCTTATCATTAATTTCGTTTAATTTATAATTTATTCTTCTTACCCTTAATTTTGTTTGTGTGAGCCCCTGGGGGCTGGCGTCCACCCTACTGCTCCCAATATTACTCCTATAACTGCTAAACCCAATTTAAGCAGCCCAGATGTTTTCAGTTTTCCTCCACCTTATCATGGATTGCATTCCAGGCCTTTACTGCAGAATCTGCTGGGCCTATCTTAGTTTTTGTTTTAGACACATTTCACAGTATATTCCCCTTCTCCTGACATTGTTTCATTGTTTTCAAGGTTTTTTTCCATTGAGTCCATTTCCCACTATTTCCTTCTCCTACTCCACTGCTTTGTCTGTGATTTTTTTCCTTCTTCTCTGACCCATTAGGTTTGCATTGTAATTCGATTGGCCTTTTATTTCTTCTATCCTTCTTCCTGTCTTTAATTTCTGGTGTCTTTACTCCAATCATGCATCTTTTCTTTCCCTGCATATCAAACCTGTCGTTGTCCGTTGGAGGTACTTTGTCTGTCGAGCACTGGGACTACACCTCATACATTCATCTCTCATTCTGTACTTTGGGTAGCTGTTTTTTCATTGTCAGGGTACTTTCATCCATCTGTTTCCATCCTTCACTCTTTCGTGAGACTGTGACTGGGTAAGTTACCTTTTAGTATATATACATCTTATTTTTCAGGGGGAATGTCCTTCTTTTTTCTTTATGGATCTTGCTCTGTGGTGAGTGGTGCTTGTCTAGGTATACTTCTAGTAAAAGCCACACTGCAAGGCCATAATGACTTAACAGTTATAAATCTATGGCCACTAACTGCACATTGCTGAAATAGGGTGTTTACAAGATTGCTTGTAGGTTTATTCCCGCGTTATATTTGCTTCGTTACTGTACTCACCCAGGGACTTCATAGGTAAAGCAGAAGGGGACAGTCATGCCTTGTATTGAATAAATCGGTATGGTCTGCTTTCGAAAATAGGGTTTCGTGGTCACCCATTGCACTATCTCAGGTGTTGTTGTTCCTCCAGATTCTCCACCATGCTCCCCCTCTTTTCTTCTAGTGGAGTTTGAGAGTCCTTACCACTTTCCAGTTCCAAGTCACTATGTTGGTGGACTGTGGAGGTATCCTCCTGAATGTGTTAATGAAAAAAACATTGATATATATATACTGGATATGCATAAATGATGATAAGCCATTCAGTTGAGATTAGGGCAGTGGTGTTCTGCTGGGGTAGATGATGAGATGTCCTCTACTATGTAACATTGGAGTAAGCCATCAAAATTGCATTTCACCCCTTTTGATTGGGATTCCTCATCCTACACTCATGTGGATTTTGGTTCCCAGTGGTTGGGTTTCAGATTTACAGCTGAACCAATCAACATTAGTCCTCACACACGTGTTTTTGATGTATCGATTCCCTCACTCATTTATACTCTTGTTACTCCATCCTTGTTGTGGGTTAAAGTGGAGGTACTTGAAGGTTACTATAGTTCTTCCCCTTCTGCTATCCCTCAATGTTATTATTTCGAGGATGTTACGGTATTTAGGGTGGTTCCTGTCATTTTGATTTTGAGTGTGAGATGGTTTACATTACACAGACATTTTTTCAATGTCCCGTTCATAGCTCGGGGGGTATGACATTCCCTCTGGTCACATGAACTTGAGTTGAAGATGGTATGATCCTCTTTGTAGTTGACTTGCCACCAGTATATCCTATTTCCTACCACCACATGGATGTCGGTTCTCAGTGGACTGGGTTTTGAATTGTAGATGACTTGCCAGCAGTATAATCCTTTGTCCTACCCCCCACATGGATGTCGGTTCCCATGTGGGTGTCAGTTCCTGATGCCCTGGGTTTATGGATGATGTTGACTTGCCGTGTATGGTCCGTTGCAGCCAGTCTACACGTAGAGGCACATCCTTGACTCACACCCACATTTATGTATTATGGGATAGAGATTCATGTATAGTGTGGTTTGGATCACTATCCAACCATAGTTCTCTCTCTATTGGATGTGCTACTCCCTATTTCTGCCCATATCTGCAACACCTTTTTCCACACCTGGTATACCTGGTACAGAAGTGGTGTGGTCTCCCACATATGATCTTCGACTCCAAAGATCTCTTTGGAAGTGACTTTTGGATGCTACTTTCTTCCCTCCATTTGTTCAATGTGAGATTCTAGCTATTTATGTGAGGGGAGGTAATGTATTGTGTAGGAAGTTATAATTTTTTCTATACTGAAAATGTATTTCCATTAGATATTTACCTCAACTCATACTTCCCACCCTTCCTCCCCACTGAAAACCAGTACTTCAATTTTCTGCCAAAACTCAACTGATAGTTTGGTAGAACTGAATAGAGGGAGTCACATGCATCAAAAGAGTATGTCGTGCTCTAATTGGTGGAGAGTTGTTGTAAGATGATTTGCTTGCGAGACACATTGGAATCAGTCAATTCTATATGGGTGGGAGTGTCAAGGCTTGTGGTATACACAAAAACTTTTTTGCATATAGCGGGCAGCACTGAACGAGAATAGTTATTCATGTGAGTGAAGGTAAGTACCTATCAGAAATACATTTTCAGTATAGGAAAATTATAACTTTCGATTATTCCATTTACCCAAGTAATTAAAATATTGCCATTATGTTTGTAGTTAGATGAAGCTACACAATGGACTGTCTGTGCTCTGCCCACCATGGGTATCTAAACCTGCTTTTTTAGCATTATAAGTTTTTTTAGTCATTTCATATTAAAATAGTCAATTAGTTAAATGTAATCCATTAATGAGTAATGAGCTTGATAATTAATCAATAACAAATTTTACTAATCTCTTAGCTGTAGTGTCAAATAAATTATTTACTATTTAGGTTAAAAGAGAGAGAATATTGTTTCCAGTAACCCTATTTTTTGTGTTAGATCCTATACTTTTTCCCTAAGTTAGGTACTTCATAGTGTGTAGATTAGTCTACCACTCTCATTGTTCTGCTTTCTCTATATGATGTTGTTGATGCCATATATGAAATGAGGGGCTCAAAAACTGTAATGTATTTTAGTAATGTTTAGTAATGTTTTTAGTAAACATACAATGTAACACTCCTAGCCTTTTTTTCCTTTTATGTTTTTATGTGAACTAGTGTGTGCAGTGTTGATTTATACACTAAATATTTATTATAGTTTTCTATTTTTATTATTATTTTACTTCAAACAGGATAACCCAATTGGAACGGGCACTGGAAAGTACAATGATCATGAATTGTTTCATACTAAGCTCAGTCATGCTTCATTAGTTCCCATCATTGGACTAATGAAAGCTGAAGACTTCTTAGTGGACAGTAATTCAGGTAAATCTGTTCATACAGTGAAATGATTTATTGGATCTGAAATTAAAAGGGCCTGTATGTTTTGAGTTTTGAATTTTCCATGGTATATTATGAATAATTATCAAAGAAATTCAGAAAAAAAAGTTGCAAAATATTCTTAAATGAAGACAGTATTGTGCTAGTAATAAGTAGCAAATTTAGAAACTTTAAACTAAGAAGCAAATAAATTGTAGCTCACTGTTTGCTGGTTTAGAGCTGCTTTAACATGGAAATCTTAAACATAACACTACAATACAGATGGAGAAATAATGGAATAAGAAAAACAACAAATATAATAGATGCAGTAAGGTTCATTCTAACAACTAAATGGAAATGGGCTGGACATGTAGCAAGGTATTCTGATAATAGGTGAGCATTAAGAACAATGGAATGGCAACCTAGGACAGTGAAAGATCTAAAGATATGCAAAAGAGAAGATAGAGGGACGATATAGTGGTGAAAGCAGGAATCAAATGGACATGGTATGCTAAGAAAAGGAAATACTGGACTGGTCTGATGGAGAGCTACATCCAGTGAGGGATGACTGCAGTTTAGATAGATAGAGAGACTGTGGTAAAGTCCTCAGCTTCAACTGTAACAGTAAACTTGCTCCCTATACAATTAAAAGAGTAGGGGGAATGTGTGGAAAGCTTTTTAAACTTCATTAAATCATGCAAAAGTAAAATTAGGAATAGGGAAGTATGGATGATGTTACCATGTGCATAAGGGAGAAGTGGGTGTAGATAGTACTTTGTATTGCGAAAGGAAAGGTAATTAGGGAATGGATCTGTCATCCCTCATAGGTTAAGATTTTGTTTGTGAATTTTCTATTTGTTTATAAAAACTTAGATTACTGGTACTGTCGCTGTGTTGAGTTTTAATACTTGTCCCCACTACCCAGGTTTTGAAAACATTGCAAAATATGATGTATCTTACTAAATAAGTCGATTGGTTTGTAATTTTTTTATCACACTATATGGCTCAAAAAAGTATCTTTTGTACTAGAGGTGTCTGGTAGATATCACTTGTTGTGAAGTAGGTTTAACTTTGCAGTCATTGAGACTCACTGCATGGCCATCAGATTCATTCAGAACACTACTTACCTAACTTCTTATGTGAGTAGTCTAGGTAGGTCACTTAACTGCTTCAAATACACAGCACAGCCTTTACATTTTATAAACTTTGTGCATCAAATACAAAATACCACAACCAAAAAAAAGTTTCATACACAGAACATGAGTTTTCCCTCTAGTATACATTATGTGGTGAGCTATGTTTGACATATTTTGTGGTCTTGTTGACTATCCACTAAGATAAAAGGATATAATGGAGCATGTTGCTTTGCTATTTTATGCATTCAGTATTGAAACTCATTTACAAATAAACTTGGTAAATTTAAGATCTACGAAAAGGCTTTGATAATTATTAATATCATCTGATGCCAATACAGCTGAGTACTTAAGTAACTGATATCCACATGAAGAAAAGATGGATTTCAAGAATATTAATTTGCAAATAAAATATAGAAATGTAGAGTATTGTATATAATATAATTGTTTAGTAAATTACTAGTTCATGAAACAAACCTATCACATAACTTTGTACACTTTTAACACATAAATACTTTTACACTTCTTTTTTAAACAGTGACAAATTATTCAATGACGAGGAACCCACTTTGAGACTAATAATGGTTGGAGACGGCTTAAATGAGTAATGAAGAAAAAAACTTTAATATAACAGCAAAACCTTGTTGAAACATTGTACATTTGCTGTTATATTAAAGTTTTTCTTCATTACCCATTCAAGCCGTCTCCAACCATTATTAGTGACAAATTATGTATTTTACTTTTAATTCTACCCTAAAGATTATGCAATTACCTGGTTATTTCACATTATATGGCCTTTTATTACTAATTTTGCATATATATATGTATTTGGTTAATCTTTTGTTACATTTTATAAGCATCTCATACACATACACACACACACACCACATATGTCAATTTTTTTTTTATAAACAATAACAGAAATAGCACAGTTATAATGGCAACAGTTACTTGTACAATTTGTGTGAGCTATATATATGTGTGTGTCAAGGAAAACATCACTTGTTTTATGAGTTATGCACTTGAAGAACAGTTACTGGTTGCAATTTTTACCTGTTGTAGAAATGATGGTGTAAAAGATGTAAAAAAACATTACCTGGATTTCATTTTTCCTCTTATCTAGATCAAAGAAAATTTTGTTTAATGATACTCTTCCTAGTAATGGTAATATTTCCACAGTAGCTTTTACACAATTTTTAACCCAGTCTTTTTCCTGCCTCAGTTCACATTCTAGTATATCTTTTGGTCATCTTGACTATCATCTCTTTATTGTTCACTTAGTAAATAATTATCACTGCTGATATTGAAAAGCTGGTTAACTGTGGCCTGCCATTTCTTTTGATCCTCTCTAGCTTCATGTGACTTAATTCTAGAGCCAGTGCAACTGACTTTAACAGGAGACCATTATCATGATAGAAGTAATCATACAGTATCTCAAATTGAAATCAGGATGACTATAACAACCAGTGACTTTGGAGAATTAGTTGAAAATAATTGGTCAAATTATCATTATCTGATAGACCGAGAATTTGGTCAACAGCATAGGATTAAATGCTATATCATAGTTGATCATAGCCAAAGTATTATTGAAAAATTTTAGAAAAGGATATCATGTAATATACACAGAAATAGATACTATTTTTTTTTTAAATTGGTGTACAGTAGAACCTCGATTAATGGACATCTCGAAACAATGTGCACCATACCATTATGAGCAGACCTTTTCAGTCGCTTTCTTTTTTCTGCTATTTGTAACCAAAATAAATATGTATAAATGCCTGTATGGTATACTACTAAATTCCAAATATCCCAAAAGAATGATCAATATTCAAACATTTGTGATGTTTATTTGATCGGCTCCAAACCATATACTGTAACAAACATTTTTACATATTTCAAAGTGTAATCTTATTACTCTGGGGAATTTTCATTGAAAATACTGTAGGATATATAACCTGGAAAATTCCACACTGTGTTCTCAGAGCAGGGGTCAAATCAATCTTATTTCTGTGCATGTGCTTTGTTATTCTTAGGAGTGTCGTATTATGGTGTCACCTAAACAGTGTAATGATGGTGATTTTTTGCTTTATTTTCAGTGGATTTTTACATCAGTCGTTGACAGTAAACTAAACAGAAAATAAATGTGAAATTTTTAGCAGTTCAAACTCTGAAGAGAAGTACAAATGTGTGGTAACTTTTTACATGTGGATGTATTTTCATACCTATGGAATAGAAATAAATTTAAAAACATATTTCTTTGTTCCATTTATTTAATTTTTGTATAGTATACACAATAACACTGCTTACATACATGTAACAAAAATGGCTTTAAATACATACACCAAACAAAATGGGGGACTTTAAAATTAAAAAATTTAGTAAGTTTAATAGGGAATACAGCTTTGCGTAGTGCATTTTTGATATTAAGGGTACCTTGCTACAGAGGGCATTTGAACACAATCGGAAGGGTGCCTTTAATGTCAAGGTTCTACTGTATGTATACTATTCTGTGTGAAAAAAAAGAAAATGTGTATCCTGCTTCATTTAGGCATCTTAAGTAACTTAATTGCCATATTACTGCCAAGAAATTGCAACTTCCAAAGGCTAGTATATTTACTTTCTCACAAACAATTGAGTATCTCCCACTATTCCATGATACATGTAATAGTGCTTGTTCTTCTAAGGGAGGGAGTATAATTACTAATATGGTGCCTCACTATCAGTAACTGAAGCGTGGTCAGTCTTTTCAAGCTAGTGTTCACTATAATAATGTCAGCTAAGTGCTTAGAAAACAAGGATTGCAAAGTCTACAGCTTATGTATACAATTGAACCTATCAATCAACTGGATAATGTTCTAGATGTCATGCCTAACAACCACAGCTAACCTAGCTGTTTTGATTGAGTGAGTAACAAAAATGTTCTTTAGATATTTTACCATGAAATTCCACTGAGTTGCTCAGAAAATATGGTGCATGACTGTCTTTTGGCATTCAGGTGTTGTAGCTATGTTAGTAATGAATTCCTATCACTATCCCAACTGCTTATCAGTTCAGTTTCAACTATATTTATTTGTAGGCTGATCTCCCAAACAGCTGGGTTTTTCTACAATCATTACATCTTCCTCTGACTCATCATGAACAGCCACAGAAGTGTTTGCAACATTGCCCTGTCATCATTCAGAATGAGATAGTACTCTCACTGTCATCTGACTTACCAATCTTGGCCTGTTCTTCATGGTTCAATTATAATTAGTTCAGCAAATAACTTGTCCTAGTCATCATGCAGCATGAGATAGTACTCTTACTGTCATTCGACTTATCAATCTTGACCTTTATTTCATGTCCAAATATCAGTAACTTCAACAAACAATCAGTCTGTTTTTGCATTGTTACCATATATACCATCACAATGACATATAACAGATGCTCATTGCTGTCAAGTTGGTCGGGATTCACAAACTTTGTAAGCATATGCTTGAAAGTCTGCATATTCTGTCTTAGCCAAACCAGACTGAGGATGACATGGTGAAATGCACATCTCAACTTTCCAAATAGCTTAACAAACTGCTTTTGAAGTTTTCTTGGTCATTATGGTTTTCATCAAGTACTTAATTTTCTTTTATATTACTGTTGAGCTAACATATCAGTGATGAAATGAGATTGATGGATAAGCTTGTATTCACTGGAGGAAAAATAGATGACAACTATAACATATTGATAACCATCATCACCATCTGGGAAATAGCCAGCTATATCCAAGGCTATTCTTTAGAATGGAGAATCTACAATCTTAGTGTCTTAAGGTAAGTGTAGCCAGAAGAATCACTTTCACACATTGACTGCAGTTCAAAAAACACCCAAGTCCATGAATAATACATAGTCCAAAATATCTCGTCTTTGACCTCTATTTGAATTTCAAGATGGGAACAATAACATAGTCTTTGGTATTATTAGGATAACTGCAACATGAGGTTTGTTTAGCTGAGCTGTACTTAGAATTTGTTTGTGCAGAAATAAAAGGCTGACGTGGAGAATTTTCAGTATAAAATGATATTTTATTAACAGTAAATAACATTGGCATATGATTTTTGTCACCATGTAAACACAGACATAGAATATCAGCTGTGACAATTCTTCTTTTACAGACCAAAAACCAAATGAAGATAATGCCAAGATCTTACAAACAACAGGTGAATTATTAATTAAGTACTAGCTTTGTTTATGTTAAAGCCTATTCTACATTTCAGAAGAAGTTATTAGGATGCCAACCATATTAATGGAAAAGGAAATCCCAAATTTGATTTCTCCATTTTCACACTTAACCATCATACCAAACAACATGTTGAGATCTGCTGAATGAATTATCCAGTCTAAAGTAGACCAGGTGAAAATAGACAAGACCTGATGAGTTATTTCTACAAATGATAAAGACAATTGCTATGAGCAAGAGTAGTATAGTTCAGTGATGTTTATAACTAAATGCAGAAACCTGTACTAACATTTTGTAAAAATTATATGAAAAATGATATATTCATATTGTATGCTATAGAATGGTTTGTTTTTGATGTTTAAATATATCAATTCAAATCCCACTTTGTCTTAATTTCCTCTTCATTTTAAAATCCCAAATAATTGTTTAGAATGGTGTAGATATTAACACTCCCTACTTAGATAAGCATTTACTGTAACTTAACAATAGTTTAATATAAAACGAAGTATAGAATAATTATGTTAACTATCAAAACTTAAAAAAACTTTTAATAAAATTGTTGTTGATTGAAACCAAAAAAGATAATATACAAAATTGTGGGTAGGATATTTTAGTAATTTGTGAAAAAGTTTGATATATGTTAAGTTTTAGTCTTGGAAACTGATAGTTTTGGAGACTGATAAGTTCTTTTCACAAATAAATCCAGTATGTGATGCTACAACTGCAAAATGTACTTGTAATGTGTTTGCTATATTGTGTAATCAAAACAATCTGTGTAGTTTTGGATAAGAGTAAACTAAGTACATATAGTGTGCTGAGGTTTTTAAAAATATATGAATCCCATGTTAAATATACATTTATATAGATAAAAAATGAATATACTAAAAATTTTTAACTGTCTTGTTCATTTTTGACTTTTGTTCTGCGTGTGAATTATTTTTGTTATAGTGTAAAACTAGTTCATTGTATACAAAAAATATTTCAAACCTCTTAGTTTAAATGTATACATTTAATGAACATTAATATATCTGTTTCATTTTATCAACTTGTACTTTAGTCATAGTGATAACAGATGCATATCTACCATATGCTTTATTAAAGAATTACACCATACAAGTAAATTAGATTAATGGGAGTTAGTATTTTACAGGTGTTCAAAGTGGTGTTATTTTGAAAAACGAGTCACCTATTGTCTCCGGAGAGAATTTCAACACAGGAGCGAGGGCAAAATCAAAATCTTTTTCATCTCAGCAAGCTAATGAATGCCCTGTCACATCATGCAGCAACACATCCACATACTTCCCAGCATCACCAGGGGAAAAAAGAAATAAATCTTGTGGAACAGTGAATAAAGCTAAACCTCTGGAAAAAACAAAGGAATTGTCTAGACAGAGTAGTTTTGGTGATAGATCTAATGTGACCATCTCAGGACTTAAAGGTGCCAAGACTAACAGCCCTTCTTCTAGAAGGAAAGATCTTAAACTGTTAAGTAGCATGTATAGTCCTGAAAGTGAACAACCTAACAGTTTTTACCATGTGGTTCCTGATGAATGTACACCTGGAGTATACAGTAGCTCATCTTCCGTCAATCCTCTCTATGAGATGTTAAGTGAAAAAGGTGAGATTTGGCTAATTCCATACCATATTATATTGCTTCAACATTCCTATTTATTGTACTGTTAGTAGTGTATATGTAATGTAGGTTGTTATGAATTTCCTTCTTGTGAACTAAAAATTGTGGTTATTTTTTAAAAGCCATCAACCCTCTCCACACTGGTCATGGGTCAAAGGCCATATCATCTCGTTTGTTGACTCACATATAAAATTTCATTGAAAAACTATTTTATGAACTTATGTCAATACGTTTGGTATGAAATTGTAGATTATAATTCAAATTTTAGTATTATACATTATTTAATTTCTTAATTTAAAAGTAAATATTAAAAAAACACTTAAACATTGATTTTTGTGTGTCACGAGGTATGTTGAATGCAGCACTGGTTTAAATTAGATGTTTGTGACGTCAAAATACAAAGTCTGTAATTTCATATGGATTAGGAACTCAAGTTACTGATATTGACAAGCTAGAATATAAAATAAGAAGGTCTTATATTTTCTATTTGCTAAGATATTGCGCATGTATTAAATCAAACACAGTGACACTCCGCTCACCTCTTTCCATTTTTGGAAACACTCCTTTATATACACTTACTTCTATATATGACATGAATAACCAATTGGAAGCTCAGAATGCCCCCTAGTGTCTTTTTCTGCCATCTTAACAGGCTTCCAGGCCATTTCTTTCTTTTGAACCAATATTTCAACAAAGTAGGGTGTGTCTTTAGTCTGTTCAAAATTTCGTATTTTTTATACCCAAATACAGCTTAGTTACTAAGCTTTATAAATTATAGTAGAATTTCTTTGGTATTGATATAGTAATTTATGATTTTTTTGGTTATTTCAAATGTATATATGAAACCTAAAAAAAAAAATTATTTCATTTCACATCCTCCACGTGCAAAATTTTATAAGGCTTAGCAACCTATGGCAAACAAGCAGCATTGTTTGATCTATTTAATGTTACTTCGCATGTACATCTCCTTTTTGGGTTCCTGTCATCATTTTTTTTTTAACCATGGGACCCCTCTTTGTCCAGGGACTTCTCATCTTCTACCTTTACTGAATGCGTCTGCCAACTCCTCCATTTGGTGTATTCTTCTCTGGATATTGATGCTTGCAGGCTCTTTCACCTTTCATCACATCAGATTCATCACCTGTCTCACTCTCTTGTGTTTCACTTTCACTTGAACAAGACCCTTCAGGGGCTAGCATGTGGATGATTCTGTACATGTTCATTTCCCATTATCATCATCATCTGGCTGTTTCAGCTCCTGCAGGATTTCAATTCCCTCCAGTTGCTGATCCTCAATCTACACAATCTTTGAGAAAGGTAAGGATATTTTCTTCTTCTTTACCCTCATCTAACCCTCTTACCTTTAATAGGATCCTGCCAGGTGGCTGGTATTCTATCCTGGCTTTACCAATGCCCACTGTTGAGATAGGGTGTTCTGCAAGACCGCTAGAGGTATCCTTGTAGTATTACTGATTACTGATGTTCTCAATCCAGACTGTACCTTCTGTGGACTATCATGGAAAAAGCTGGCATCAGGAAATTGACTACCAACTTCTTTTGCGTATGCTTTCCATCTTTTAAAAATAGGGTTTTGCAGTCATCTATTGCACTGTCTCCAGTAAAAAAACCTTTCTGGCAGGTGTTGAATGGAGATCTGGGTACTTCTTCAGGTCTCCACAACTGAAATACACTCGCCACTTCTTCAAGTGAAGCATTGGAGACCCTTGCCACTTACCAGTTCCTAGTCACTGGGGTGATGGAGTTTGGAGGATTCCTCACAAATTGTATATGCCACAGTATGGTGAGATATAGGGTAATGGTAGCACTATCTGTGTAGTGCAGATCACTCCTCAAACAGCTAGTCAACTGTGTGGTTTGATCATGCCCTAATCACAGCATACTTCTTGTCTTGAAGACCACTGATGTACTAGTGCTAGATTGATGAGGCAAAAATCCTCCCCTCCCCCCAATTCCTGTGAAACTTAGGGCTCTTTTGCCTTTCCTTTTCGTGCAAAGAGTATACCCTGGTCAAAATAAGATGTGGTCTTTCTATGGAGCCCTTGTTTTTGGGTGTCACACTCCATGGGCCTTCTTTTCAAACATTTTCTGAAGAGAGTACATGCAGGTTTAATGTTTGCACCGGCCCCTCCATTTCATGTGTGAGATTCTAGCTATTCTGTGTATAGAGGTGAGGTATCATCTCAGTAGATAATATTTTCCTTACCTGAAAACATATTTTTAATAGATACTTACCTTCCCACTCATCTTTCCTATTTCCAGTGCACTTTCTTTTTGCCTCATTGTAGAATAAAGTTAGTTTGGGCACAAGTGCTCAAGGGGATCTGCTGTGCAAGGAGGTTGTGTTATCCTTCTATTGGTGGAAGTCTGTTGGTGCATGATAATGACATCATGCACTAGATCAGTATATGTTAACTACGTGTTTTTAGGTGGGAGGTAGTTTAAGATTAGTGGTATGTAAATCTCATAGGCAGATGTGTGTAGGAATCAAGCTATTCTATGTGTAGAGGTGAGTTTCAGGATGGAAACTGTTAATATTATCTCAAATTATGGGAAATATATAGGTCATTATTTTAGGTTGAGACATTCATTAAGGATTATTTGATTTTCTTAATATACTGTTAGTTGAATAGATGATCATATGAATAATTTTAGAAGTTTTTAGTTGTTTTTTTGCAGGTAACTTGTTAGAAAAAGTCTTTATATATAGTTTTTGTGTACATGCAAAATAAACAATTCTTTATTACAAAAGTGATATATTAGGTCATCAAGGTTTGTTTGTGCCATCTGAAACAATGTTACAAGTTGAACTTTATCTTGCAATTGTTGTTATAAAATTATTCAATGCCAATTTTGACCAGATGCTTTATTCCATCTTTTTTTTTTTACACATAGGAAAGTTCATAAGGACCCTAGACAATAATCATAGTTATATGGAGAAACATGGAGGCAGTTTCCGACATGATATCTTACCACTTCTCACATAATAGCTTTTCTCAACTTGTACTGCATCTATATGCACAGATTTTTGCTCACCACTAACCTTGATATTCCCACCTACCCTCAAGTGTTTTCACATGAAGCAACTCCGTGATACCATGCAAATATGCATGTGATAACCCTTCACCAATAGGAGCACGACACAACTAGCACAGTTGACTCCCTCAATGCAACTTATTTCAACTTTACTTCTTGATTGGCACTCATGGTGTTTAGACATGTTTTTTACTTGAGCTTTACTTTTGGAAATTCAATCAGTTACATGTTTTTGGATACTTTTTTTTTTTTTTCTTTGCTACACTTCAGTTCTCTACTTTTTGTTTGCACACATTAACCCTATCGAGACAGGTCTTCCTATGGTCACGGGTCAAAGAACGTGTCATCGCTTTTGTAGACTTATATTAAAAATTTTAATGAACTAATATTTTATTAATTTATGTCAATAAGTTTGGTATCAAATTGTAGATTATAATTCAAATTTTAATATTATGCATTAGTTAATTTTTTAATTTAAAAGTAAATGTTAAAAAAAAATCCTAAATATCGATTTTTGTGTGTCTCATGTCATGTTTGTGATGTCCAAGTACAAAGCCTATAGTTTCGTACGAATTAGAAACTCAAATTACTGACAAGCTAGAATATATATAATAAGACCTCGTATCTTTTCTATTTGTTGAAATATTGCTACATTTACTGAATCAAATAGTGGCCCTACATACGTTATTCCATTGTTGGAAATGCTTATGTACACCTAATTCTGTCTATGATGTTTGAATAACCAATCGAAAGCTTGGAATGTCCCTCATATGGTTTTCTGAGCTTTTGCAAAGTATTTACACTGGGAAACCCTTTCCTTCCATGGTAGATTTCAAGTGGTAAGGTAAGACATTATCGAGCACAAAAAATCATATTTGCTTAGACCCAAATACAGCTTAGATACTAAGCCTGATTAATCATAGTGGTATTGCTATAGTAATATATGATTTTTTGTTATTTCAAAATGCATATATAAAACCTATAAAAAGTATTTTCTTTTACAGTCTCCACATGCAAAATTTGATAAGGCTTAGCAACCTACGGCAAACAAGCAGCAAACCAGTACAAAGTTCGTAACTAGAAAAGATAATTCTTTTCTATACTTCTTTATTTACTGTTCTATGTTTTAAGAAAAATAACTGAAATTTAAGAATTTATTTTGTAAATAGTAATGTATATACATATGTAATGTAATATAACTGAAATGTGATTGTATTTTACAAAATATTGATCCACTAGAACACATCCAAGACAGGTCACTTTTTAAAGGCCAGTTTTATATTATTGGATACAGTAACATGACAGTAACATGAATTATCTGGGGGTTATAAAGATTTCACATATAAAATTTGAAAATTTTCTGAAGCATAAAAGTATTTTTATTCTTAAAATCAAAATACTTTTATGCTTCAGAAAAGTAAACATTCAAAAAGAAAAATGTATGAGCAAATCATTACTTAAAAAATCTTAAACTTAGTAAAATAAAAAAATTTATATTTTGTGTATGAAAGCCTTGTAATGTTTACTGATAATTTGCAGAAGTTTGTTAAGATACGCTTACTGTATTAAAGTTATAGCATGAAAACTATAACAAGCACAAATAATTATGAGATCAGTCCCTAGGACCAAGCCCTTAGTGAGAGAGTTAATATTATGTGTCTTTAGTAATTTTTTTTGAACTACCTGTGTGGATTTTTTTACTATTTCCACTCGTAGTTGTCATGAATTCATAGTTTAATGCTACAACTACTACTACTGCTGGTCCTACAACAGTTATCCTTACTTCTACAATGGTGCCGGGTTTGCAGTTATTGGTGGAACTTTATGGCCTTGGAGTTTGCTACTTTCATACAGGCTTCAGATTCTCCTGAAGATTATTCTGTCATTCCTTGTTCAGGGGTACCTGAACAAGAGGATGAGGATTTGGACAG